TTCAAAGAGTGCTGCCTCCCCACAAACAGAATCCTCCAGTTGTTAGGCTCAGAAAAAGCTGCAAATGGAAGGGACCCACAAGATCTTCCAATCCAATGCATCATTTTACAAGAGGAGATGGGAACCTAGGAGAGGGTACGTGGATAAATAACCAAAATCACACAACAAGTTATAAGCAGAGACAATCTCCCAACTTGTCTCAGGTCTTGGTTTTCTCATCAATCCACTCATTCAACTAACACATGTGGAGTATGTGCCAGATACGAGTAAACAAAGCAACAAAACCCATCAGCCTGATGGGGAAGCCTGACTTCCTGTATCTGAGACAAGAAGTGCTTTGAGAGAATGACAAGAGAGCTCCTCTAAGATTGAGGAATTGGGGAGGGCTCCCTGGGGAAGTGACATGTAAGCTGGGCCACAAAGGACAAGCAGAAATGGACAAGAGGGAAGAAATGGGAGTAGTGGGGGCAGCTCCTGTCTGAGACAGGAAGGAGTTGATCAAGGTCCAGGAACAGGAGGAGAGCAAGTGTGGTCAGAGGGAGAGAAGCAGGAGATGAGGAAGGTCAGGTAGGTGGACAAATCCTAACTCCATAACCAAACTGATAGCAACTGCCAGGATGCAAAGTGGCAATTATTCAGTCTGCTGAGCAGTCTCTGCATATCCACCCTGGGAAGATTTAAAACTTGAAAGCAGAGGAAGAAGTCAATAGTACAGATCCCCGAACCCACTGTCCTCAGCATCTCACATGGGGACTTGCCTAAACTTGTCAGAACCGACCCCCTGACAACTTGCAGGTTCACACACTGTTTGTATTGAGCCCAGAAGCCCAAGACTCTCTCTAAAGAAAACCTCAGTCCCCCAGACCACAAGAGCCAGCCAAGCCCAAGGCCTTGTAGTACTAGGTGACAAAAACCTTCCAGGGGGTTATTCTTAAAGCACACTCCAGGGAAACTGCCTTCATTCAGAACTGTGCTCTAGAAGCCAACAGTCCCCCTCCATACAAGCCAGGACAGAAAGACCTCCTCTGAGGCAAGCCCTCCACGACTAGCCCTGGGGTAGATGAGAGACTCAACAAAGGGAAGGTAGAGAGAGGAGGGCAGGAGAGATCTGGGCACCCTGGGCCACGAGCTGTCCATCCCTTTGGGGATACTTGCCAAACCAAGCTGGTTTCCCATCATGACCTAGTTTCTTTTCTTCTTTCTTTTCCAAAGATCACCACTTCCAATCAGCTCACTCACGAAAGAAGCCATCCCACGGTTTTTTTTTTCTTCTATGTTTAGGTCACTGAATGAGAACACAGTCTTCAGTCCCTCCAAAGGTACTTAGTGCTAGCAAAGATGAAAAATCCACAGGGCTGGCTCACCCAGCCGGCTCCTTCACCTACCCCTATCCCTTTTTAGGTTACTCCAATAGGAAAAAATAATGGTGAAACTGGTAGGCCTTTGGGTATCGAAAGGCTGAAGGATTGATTGCACATTTTTTGTAGTAGGCAACAACTGGAAACTACCATGCTCATCAAGAGTAGAATGCATCAAAAAACACGATACAATCGTGAAATGGAATACTGTAAACAATGAAAAGGAAGGAACTACTTACACACAACAATGTGGATCACTCTCACAAATGTAGTGTCACACAAAATAAGCCAGGCATGAAGATTATATGCCGTATGATTCTATGTTTATAAAGTTTACAAACAAGCAAAATTAAGCTCTCTTTCCTTTAGGGAGGAGAAATATGACTATGAGGGACTGGAGAGTGAGAGGGGCTTTGGGGTGCCATGTTTTAGTTCTTGACCTGGGTTGTGTTTACATAGATGTGTTTGCTTTGTGATATGCCACTTAAGAAGCTTGTGTTGGGGCGCCTGGGTGGCGCAGTCGGTTAAGCGTCCGACTTCAGCCAGGTCACGATCTCGCGGTCCGTGAGTTCGAGCCCCGCGTCAGGCTCTGGGCTGATGGCTCAGAGCCTGGAGCCTGTTTCCGATTCTGTGTCTCCCTCTCTCTCTGCCCCTCCCCCGTTCATGCTCTGTCTCTCTCTGTCCCAAAAATAAATAAACGTTGGAAAAAAAAAATTTTTTTTAAATAAAAAAATAAAAAAAAAAAGAAGCTTGTGTTTTCTACATGATTGTGTACACGCACCCACCCACCCACGCACCCACACACACACAAAGGATTTTCATCATCTTCGGAAAGGAAAAGTAAAGTATTTAGAACTTCAGCTTTACAGGCCACAGTTGTGAATGGAGGATGACCCCGGCTGAGCAAGGTAAAGCAATGCTAAACTGCATTGGGGATATGGCCTAAAAGGCAGCTATGGGGTGACAGGAATTGGGGGGAACAGTTTTGAGGTTTATTCCCTTCTTCCTTCTTATAACTATCAATGAGAACTTTGCATAATATACTCCAAAGGGAAGTGGGGCCAGCAGAGAAAAGGACTGGAACCAAGCTAGAACATTTCTAACAGTGAGAAGACAAGGAGGGTAGGCGGAAGAGAAAAGAGAAAGAAATCGTAAGTGCCCGGGGTGGACAAGAAGGACAGCTTGCCTGAGCTGACGATGTATGCGGTAGGGGAATTCCCATGAGTCAGCCCTGGAGAAGGAATCACTTCTCTGTTCCCCTCCCTGAGCCAACAACATCTGATATACACCTGGATTAATGGGGTTATTGCACTGCTCTGCTGTAATTTATTTACAAGTCTGGGAAATGAAAAGAAACAAAAAGAGTGTGAGTTAGGGCATGTGTATAGCCAAGGATTCCACATCCCCAACATCCAACACATGGTTTGGCATATAATTTGCACTGAAAAAAAAAGTTCACTGACAAAGAAATGAAAGAATATGGTAGACATAGAGATTCTCTATTCCTCAGTATTTAACAAATCTATAACAAACAGCTTACAATGCCAAAAATGTGAGAATGGAATCCTGTGCAGCTACTAAAAATTACAAGCAACAATAGCCATCATCTGTAGGGTGCTTTACATAAATTTACAGAGACAATTTGCACCTCACCCTTGTCTGATACAGAATTATACCGAGTTTGTTGCCATACTGAAACATGAAAATGACACATTAGCAACAATCTCCCTGAGAGGCCAGAAGGATCAGAGATGGTGAACTAACAGGTTTTCATGGAAAGAGGTAGGGCGGGTCCATATCTCACAGAAATACCAGGAAGGGCTCGTATTTCTGGGTGGCCAGCAGAAAAGTTCAGTTAGCTCTGTTTGTGTAAATAACTGTGTTAATTTCACATACTATATTTCATTTCACTTCCTCTCTTTATTGTTTTTTTTTTGGGGGGGGTACTTTACTTTTAGCCATAATTTAATTCAAAAGTTCTCTTTAACAATTATTCCCAAGACTTACTGTTGGGTGAAGTCCTCTAAAGAAGTGTTTTTGATGTTCAATGTGGACTCAGTCTGTGTCCCACTGTGGTTTTATTCATGAGCCTTACGTCAAGAAATCAAATAGTAAAACCTATCTGCACACAGACTTTTCCGGGCTGCCTTGCTGATTGCAACAGTGTTTTAAAGAAAGGACAGTGGCAGAAAAACAAACCTCTCTCCACCCTGTGAGAAACTGGGCCTAATGTTTAATGATTCACAAAAAACTGAAGTCGTGGACACTTTAAACCTTGGCAGTCTCTCCTTGCTCTAGCTGTTCGTGCAGAAACTTTGTTGTGCAGCAGTGACTGTCCTAAAAGAAAATTTTCTGCAGGCTGAATCTTTGCTGAGCGTTTCTGCCTACTTGGGGTCACTTCCTGCAAGCACTTAACTGCAATTGAGAGGATTACCTAAAGTATATATTTCACAAACCGCCCATCACATGCCTTACTGAAACACTACATCCAATGCTAAAAGCCTCCTTTTGCAGATGTCAGTAACTCCGGAGAACACGACCACAATACCGTTAGAGCGTCCCAAAACTAGCTCTTAATAAACATTCCCATGTAAAAAGCAGCTGCTTTTAAAGGTCTGTGGAACGCTGGTGACAAACAGAGGCATTGGCTACCTTTACAATAATAGAAATCCTTCAGGCTTATACTGATTTGAGCCTTCTGTCCGTGAGGCATTGTTTTAGCGCCACATTGGGCATGATGGACTGCCTGCCGGGGGGTAGAGCCTCCACACAAGGGCAAAGGGGGGCGTTGAGGGAACTAATCCTGCCCTCGATTCAAGCCATTTTAAAGCTAGGGAGCCCAAGCGCAGACAGTGCTCAGCAAAACCTCGGACATCCGCCCGGAGCGACCGCCCAAGTCCTCCTCCAGGTGCAGAGGGTGCAGGGGCTCCCGAGAGCGGAAGCCCAGGAGCTAGGGGCAGATGAGGACAGCAGAAACCCAACCTCGGGGGGCGGAGAGTCACCCGCGGAGGCGGGAAGAGCGCGAATCCGCCCGCGGCGAGCAAGGGGGCGCTGCAGCGCCACCTGCCCTCCTCCGCACCCGCAGGCCTCCCGCAGCCGCCTCCACCAGGAGGATGTGAATAAATCGGGCCCACCTGACACCGCCGCAGCGCCGAGTAGCTAGGTGCCGGGGAAAACGCGGCAGCAGGGAGCTGCAGCGCCGCCTGTAGGCCCCGCCTCCGGGCCTGGAGCGCGGGGCCTCCGGAGCTGCGCGCCGCCGCCTCTCGCGCGGGCACCTGCGCGCGACCCTGGCGCCGTCTGCCTAACGCAGGTGCGGTGCAGTGCACCCAGACCCCCCGCCAGGGATAGAGGGTTGGGGTAGAGCATGGGGGGAGCCAACGCTCCCCTCATGCTCTGTGCCCGCGCGGGGCAGGCGGCGCCACCGAAGTGCGCTTTGTTTGTGTGGCCGGAGCGGGGGTGCCTGGACGGGAGTGGAGCCCTCGCCCCCTCCCCCGCAAGGGCAAGGACAGAGCCCCGGGAGGGGTGGGGGTGCTCAAGGGGGCAGAGCTTCTGTTGCAACGCGTCGTTGTTGGGCCCAGCCGGCCCCCATCCCGCTCTGCCCTTTCTCCTTCCGAATCCCCCGACCTCCGCAGATGCGCTCACCTGCTCTCCACGACCCCCACGCCGCGGCTCATCGTCGCTCTGCCGCTGGGAGGGGGCGCCACGCGCGCTCCAGGCTCCGCGCTCAGTGCAAGCCGGGGCGGCTGCAGGAGGGGCTCGCGTGCTGAGCGCTGCCCGGCACACTCCGAGGCTGCCGACTCTGCGGGGGGAGGGAAGAGGGCGAGCGAGAGCCACCGGGGGAGGGGACTGACTGGGAGGGGGTGCCGGGCGCGCATCCGCAGCTGCAGCCGCAGTCTGAGGCTGCCGGGGCTCCGGTAACGGAAACGCACGCTTGCCAGCGGCCCGCGCGTGCACACTGGCGTGCACACCAGCGTGCACACTCGCACACGTGCGCAAATCCTCCTAGCCTTTGCTGCTTGTCGGCGCCCTTGCCCTAAGGGAACTCGGCTTGATGAGACTAAGCTGAGGCTTCTGTGAAGGAGAAGGACAAGGGCCATTCTTTCTGGAGGGATCAGAGAATTCATGGCACCATGATTAAGGTTGGCTGCTCCTGTATCTGGGAATTTTCACTGGGGACCACGAGATACCCGCCCAAGGTGTTCCCCGATTTGCTTCTTAAGATCTATAACCCCGCTGAAATTCTAGGTCAAGTTTTGTATCCAAAGTACAGGTGCCTGGAGTGAGGTGCCACAGCTTTCATCCGATTAACAGCTGCGTGACCCGTCCCCCGCCCCAAACCGTGAAGGTGTATGGATTAAATCAGCGGTTCCCAAACTTTGCAATGCATTAAATCACCAAGGGAGTTTTTTTTTTTTTTTTTAATCGCAATGCCCCAAGTAGTATCCCGCACCAATTAATTCGGTGAAGTGGGACTCAGGCATCAATAGTTTTAAAGTTCCCACGTGATTCCAAAGCTCAGGAAAGTGTGAGAACCACTGCTTAGACTGTTGGTGACCCTCACCACACTGTTCTCTTTCATTCCATTTTTCAGCATGGTTGCTCATCTGTCTTACATAAAGTGGTGGGTGTCACAGCCTCTAGCCCAGGTCTGGCTCTCAGGAGTGCTCACTACAGGGTTATTCAGGAAGGCGGCAAAGGCAGAATCCAGGATGGGCCGTCTAACTTGCAGCCTTCTCTTTGTTGTTTCCGGAATTCTCCACAGACTGAAATACCCCTGACCTCGTGGAAATGACCTCATGTAATGCCTGAAGCTGGGGGAAATGGCTCATTGCAGCTTGAAGAGACCTCTGTCTTTTAGATTCCTCCAAAAGTCTCAGCCCCCCACCTGCCTCACTGTGACTCAAAGGTCCTGTGCTAGCAGTGTGGGTGAGTACAATGAAAGTCCTAGCCCCTACAGGTGGAGCACCCATGAATCCAACACCATAGTAGGTACTTATATATTCTAAGAAAGAACTGACCTGGGGCACTGTTATTGGGCCTTGATGTTCTCTTTGTTGAACATAAACAATTTCACAGAACATCAACATCAGGTCTGGCCTCTCTGTGACCATGATGGATCAAGACAAGAACAAGACCACTATGTAATCTTGTCTGAACACAGACAAAATGTGAACATTGTCCAAGCCACAAAATACCAAACATAGCTATCCTGGCTAATAAAAATGACTGCTGCTTCTTGGCCAGTCACAGCCTTAGCCTCACTCTAGTCTGCCCTCTCTATGGATAACATTTATGAAGATACATATTCGTAGAACTACCCCTGCTTTCTTAAGCCTGCCCCCTTGTCAGTTAATAAAAGCCCAAATCCTTTAATAATATTTTCTAACGCCCTCTCACTGAGACACCTCCAAGGTTTCCCATGGCGTGCATTTCCCTGACTGCAGTGAGTAACCCAGCTTGTATAACTATAGGTGCATTCCAAGTGGTCTCTGGGCAAAAGGATGTTAAAAACAAATTATCTTATTTAATCATCGCAGTAACAGCACAAGGTAAATATTATACTCTCTTTACATATAAGCTACCTTCTTATAGATCATATAACTGGAACTCACACAGGGCTACCAGCTGTTAGTGGAGAGCTTGTTCATGTTCACATGGGCTTGTGGGGAACCAGGCTAGTATGTTGCTTACCCACACAAACTTTGGCTTCCAGATATGCCTGAGCTCTAACCCCAGCTCTGCCCTCTTCTAGCTATGGGAATTTGAGCAAGTTATTTAACTTTTCTCAACCTCAGCTTCCTTGCCTACCTCCCAAAAAGTGGGGGGGGGGGGGGGCCCTATCTAGGAACTGGTATTTTTTGAGATATAATTGTTATATAAAATTGTATTGATTTCAGGCATACAATGTAATGATTCAATATTTGTATATATTGTGAAATGATCACCATGATAAGCCTAGTTAACATCCATCACCACACATAGTTACAAATTTTTTTCTTGTGATAAGACACTTTAAGATCTACTCTCTTAGCAGTTTTCAAATATATAATATTTGAATCAAATATATAGTACATTATAATTAACTACAAGAAATACGCATATTTTTTATAGGCTCCCCAGGTGGCTCAACCCAACACCAGACCCTAGTTTGGGATCTCCTGGCCCTATCTCCTTTTCCCTTCTTCCCATTCACTTCTCAACCAATTGTAACATCGTTTTTGACCCACTCCCTACTCTTGCTAAGGTCACCAGTTACCTTTCAGATGCTAGATCTGAGGTACCCTTTTCCATATGCCATTGACTCACTTGACTATTTCCCCTTCCTGAAATTCTCCCTCTTTGGTTTCCAGGAGGCCTACATGGTATGATAAGCAACTGAGGCCCAGAGAACGGAAACCCTTTTTTTCTTCTTTTAAATGTTTATTTGTTTTTGAGAGAGAGAGCCAGGGAAGGGCAAAGAGGGAGGGAGACAGAGGATCCAAAGCAGGCTCTGCACTGTCAGCAGAAAGGTGGATGTAGGGCTCTAACCCACGAACCGTGAGATCATGACCTGAGCCGAGGTCAGACACTTAACCAACCGAGCCATCCAGGCGCCCCAAGAACTGAAACTCTTGATCCAAGCCTGTAAGGCACTGGAGACTGAAAACAACCATGTGAGTGAGCTTGGAAGTGGATCCTTCACCCCAGTTGAATCTTTTCATGACTGCTAAGCCACTTCCAGATTCCTGACCCACACAAACTATGAAATAATAAGTGTTTGTTGTTTTAAGCTGATAAATTTGGGGGGAATTTATTATCCAGCAATAAGTAATACAAACAGGAAACAAGATCCTATGGTTAGTGCAGTAGAATCATATCATCTGCACTTCAACTTGGGTAAGTTGAGCCTTACTTGGTCTGCAAAAGAGGGACAGAGAACAATTCTGCCTGCTATGCCAGTGAAATAAGATGACGAAATGAAAGAGGTGAGTCTGATTTCATTAATCAGTCTCTGGTCCTGGGCATCTCTCACAGAGGAGAAAGCCTTTTTGTTTTTTTTAATGTAATTTATTGTCACGTTGCCTGACATACAGTGTATACATTGTGCTCTTGGTTTTGGGGGTAGATTCCCATGATTCATTGCTTACATACAACACCCAGTGCTCATCCCAACAAGTGCCCTCCTCAATGCCCATCACCCATTTTCCCCTCTCCCCTGCCCCCCTCCCCCCATCAACCCTCAGTTTGTTCTCTGTATTTAAGAGTCTCTTATGGTTTGCCTCCCTCTCTGTTGAAAACTATTTTTTCCCCTTCCCTTCCCCCATGGTCTTATGTTAAGTTTCTCAAGTTCCACATATGAGTGAAAACATATGATATCTGTCTTTCTCTGACTGACTATAGAGGAGAAAGTCTTTGATGTGTTGTTCATATTTTTAACTATCCATGTTTTGTACAAAGTGGGAAAAATGAGGCTAACTCACTGACTTGGATGTATAATGTAGTCAAAATGACCCCTGAAATCCCTTAACTCTTCAGGACCTGAACCCAAGAGTTCCCCAAGCAAAGAATAGTACTGACCTTAGGCCAGTGCCAGCCCTGGGAACTTGCTTCAGAGGGCCCTACCATGGCCCTCCCCTATTTGCACCTTCCACAGGAGGAGCAGTCAGTGAGGCCCAAGGGATGTGTCCTTCTGGAGACTGTTCCTCCCCCACCCCAACTTGTAGACCAAACTCAAAGGATGAGAGACCCTGAGTTCCCTGTCCAAACGGCATTAAGCCCACTTCTAGACCCTACATAGGCCTTTTCCCCAAGTCCAACTTTCTATGGGTGGAATATACCACCAGAATGCACATGCCAGGGCAAGGGGACACCAAAGACAGCTGCTTAAAGGGATATGGATGGAGCTTGGGTGGTCCACATGGGAGCTGAGTGGTCCACTTATGTGTACAAAGCCCCTCACCATGTGGACAAAGCAAGCAGTGGAAAAACAAGAGGGTGGCCTATGGACTCTGAGCCAGCTCACCTAATGCTGTCTTATACTGGTGTTGGACTCCGAGAAGGCTAACTTTACCTGACCTTCAATGTCATTTTACAGGAATATCTGTCAAGTCAGGAAGACAGAATGTATTTCTTTTTAAATTTTTTTTTTAATGTTTATTCATTTTTGAGAGGGAGACAGAGCATGAATGGGGGAGGGGCAGAGAGAGAGGGAGACACAGAATGTGAAGCAGGCTCCAGGCTCCGAGCCGTCAGCACAGAGCCCAACGCGGAGCTCGAACTCACGGACCGCCGAGATCATGACCTGAGCCAAAGTCGGATGCTTAACCAACTGAGCCACCCAGGCACCCCAGGAAGACAGAATATATTTCATTTAACAGTGTGCTAACTTGCTTTATACCTTCTAAATATTTGGACATATTACATATTGATATTCATTAGTACTGCAGCCCTGAGTCCTGCAAATGATTAGGAAGCCCTGGCCAAGGACTAAATTGCTTGCATTCACTTCAATTTGCTCTAGTTTTGGTTTCTCTTTGCCATAGGAAGTGGAGGCCAAGGCATCATTTGAATGGGAGAGGACAGCAATGGGATGAAGTGATTACTTTTCCATCCCCGTTTATTTAAATGTATTTGTTTATTATTTTCCCCAACACAGGTGTGTCTTCTCTCTCTGAGGTCCAAATGGAACTTGTCCTTGGGAACCCCTGTTGTTAAAGCCCACGCTTGGATTCTTTGTATTTTGTGGAGGTTGTTTAACCCTTTCCTCAAGTAAGTACTCATCCCAGTTGGCAGTGTTCATTCCAGACCATTTTCCCCAAATCTTTGTATATGTTATAGAAAATACCATTTTTATGCATTTGTCTCAAAAATTGGGTGATATGTGCGCTGTTTTTCAGTTTGTTTTTACTCTACAGTATATCTCAAAGGTCTGTCCATCTTAAGAACAAATTCTGCTATTTATATATTTATTTTTTTAATATATTTATTTATATTTCTATTTGATTTATATAATTTTGTTTATCTCATTTGGATACTAAAGATACTATATGAAACTTGTATGTGAGTCATGCAGGCTTTTAGATTAAACAGTAAGTTTATTTATCTTAATTTTTGGAGTATAGAGTGTTAGTGGACAGAGATTTGAAGAGCGAGAATTTCC